AACCGTCACCAAAACTCCAATTTTTGTACCACCTTAATAAAAAGCATATGTATAGATTGGTATACACTCGCTGTACAAGTTTCAAAAATAAGGACTAAGAATTACGGTGTCCAGGTCTAATATCTGAAAATAGGAAATTATCGATCTGCAATTCCGCGGTAAATCCTATACTTACCATCCGTATACTCACCCGGCATAATATAGACTCACCCGGCTAAGTATATCTAGACTCACCCGGTATAATATAGACTTTAGATGTCAAAAAACAAAACAATCATGAATTATTTATATATATTTTAAAGAATTATAAGAAAACTAAAAAAATATCAATAGTAAATAAGATAAATAAGATAAATAAGATAAATAAGATAAATGAAGATTATATATCTATATACATAATATAATAGTCTACTGTTTTCATTTTTTCATTTGTCATGGTGATCCTGAAAAAAAACAATATCAATGGTAATAAATTTATAATTTTTTTTCAATAATGTCTCAATATATTACCATTTTAGCACGATGATTGGAAAGCATACAAGGAACAGGAAATGCTGCATTACACTTGTTGCAATTGTAAGGGGTCTTTAAGGAATGCATTCTGTTATTGTGATACCTTAATTGCCGTTCCCCAGAATAATGTTTATCACATTGTGAGCATTTAATTAAAGAATTTTTATGTATCAACTTAACATGTGTATTTAAATTCCTCTTATCAGAAAAAACTTTGGCACACTCTTTGCATTCATGTTTTCTACCACCGGTATGCAGCATTTCGTGTTCACGTAGAATATCTTTCCTCTTATAAAATTTTGGACAATATTTACAGGCAAATGTGCCTGGACGATGAGTGGACATATAACTCTGAAACCAGCAATTGAATTTAAAATATAAATCACAATTGTTGCAGTGATATTTAAACGGCCGGTCTTCACTACTCGAAGTGGATTTCATTGAGCCATCATCCTCACTCATGATTTGACTTTCAGGATTGACATCTTCATCTGATGTGTCTGGGTCTGTGTCTGTGTCTGTGTCTGTGTCTGTGTCTACTGTAATATAAGTTAAAACTATTGTCATAATGTATTTTAAAAAAATTCTCATAGTTAAATTATTAAAATTTGTATGTGGTTTGTACAATTGGACATTGTGTGAGCAATATAGGAATATAAAAATATAGTTGACGATGGGGCAGAAATTCACACGATAAAAGTAAAATGTATAAAAAAACATATGTATTACCTGCTTTAGTTTGAGGAGATGCAGGATCGTTGACTGTTGCCTGAGGTGGGTCGTTGACTGTTGTTTCTGGTGGGACGTCCACTGCCATAGTCTCTACTGTAATATAAGTTAAAACTATTGTCATAATGTATTTTAAAAAATGCTCATAGTTAAATTATTAAAATTTTTATGTGGTTTGTACAATTGGACATTGTGTGAGCAATATAGGAATATAAAAATATAGTTGACGATGGGATGATAAATTTTTAATGAATATGAAAGAATTATTAAATAAAAATGTATTAAAATATCTTGATTTTGAATTTATAAAGTTTATTAATGTAATGGATAAATGGTGGCATCATTATGCAACCATTAATGATCACCATACACATGTGTTGTAAGTATGACGTATATTTTAAAACAATAATTAATTAAAATATTGAATTTCAAATAGTAAAAAATAAAAAAAATTAATAATCAACGTAAAATGTATAATTTAACAGATATCCATATATTAAAGATTACCAATCATTTGATGTGTCAATTGACGAAGATTCTGTAATCGAATTCTATATATTTAAAGAAGAAGAAATTGAATTGTATGTAGTTTGTGCATTATATACCTATAATGAACATTCTACTGTCTCACTACAGTACAATACGGTACTTGTTAATACTTTTACGCTATGTCCTAACTAAATCCGTCTTGACAGCACTTTTATAACACTTTTTTTTTTCATTTTAGCTTGATAACATTTTTAATCATATCCAAATAATAATGGCGGTGTTGAATATACATTTCATCGCATCAAAAACATCACTTAAAATAATATTAAATAAATTAAACGAAAAACAGTTAGTCCAAATCAATCAAATAAATAATAAAACAATATATTACATAGATGATCTTCAAAAAATAACTATTTATAAAAATACAAATAAAAATTTAACGGCAAGCAAAATTCTTACTATAACCGATGTAACATATATTATGACTGCTTTGTTTCATGGAGTAAGTGGCAATAATCACGATTCACAAATTCAAATAATTTATTTAATTGTGTTTTGTCATCTGTTTCAGCTTCCAACAATAGTCTTTTGTAAATTACCTGTAATAAAGACATCATGTGATAAAGATTACATAATTCAAAAATTTATAAAAAAATACCAGTTCATCAAACAATTAATTACCAACATAACAATAACACTTACAACGACTCCAGAACAAATACACATTGACTACACTAACCATTTACACAGTTACAAACAACTATTACAGAAAAAAGTACCAACATTAATTACTAAAAAAAATGACTCAACCTTAACAATTGACGAACTTATGGACCTAATATTACAACCCAACAACCAACAACCAACAAATACAAACAGTAACATTCAACATAACATACAGACATATAACATAGAAAATTTAAAAATCAAAATAACAGACTTTTACCTGACCGACACTCAATTAATGAGTTATATAAAAAAAAATTATGTTTTTTAATATTTTTATTATTTATTATTTTATTTTTATTATAATGATGCGGTTGGCTAACGAGGACCGCTCCTTAATCAGTTTACCTTAATATTGTGTTATTTTTGTAAATGTATTGTATGTAATTTTACTTGTGTCCTAATTGTTTTAGTTTATATTTACTGTGCCTGTAATTCTGTTGCATTTTTTAGGCCATCACCCTAGCTATCTTATTTTACTGAATTATTGTTATGTACTGTACTAATACAATATTTCCTCTCTACGGTCACACTGCAACGAGTGGCCTCGTATTTCTTATTATCAAATTAATCTGATAACATGATTATCCACGCGACCACGCCGACGTCAAAGTAATGTCTTATTATTTCATTATTCTCATTTTTATTATGTTAATTATATTAAATTTTTGATCGTAAATCACATACTTACCTGATGATACTTACTAAGTATCATTATATTTCAATTATTTTATCAGAATATATTGTTTTTTTCTTTTTTTTTATCGATCAAAAAATACAACGGCCATAGTCATAGACGTTACGTTAATTACTTTTTTTTTTGGTATCTTCAATATAATATTTTTAAATGAAATTGTACAATTCATATTTTCTTAAAAAAGTCAAGATTTGGAATGTGGTGTCTGCATTTGGTCCTAGGGCTGCGTCTAATATATATATATATATATTTATAATTTTTTTTTTTATCAGGTTTTGCGCCCGTTACTGTACATCGTTAGCGCGAGTCATCAATTAATTTACGTTTTTCCACACCAAACTATAACGTTATCATTCTTCTCTAAATACTATCATTGTCTATGTGTAATATGCGGGGCCCAGCTCTGGCGCAATGGCCAGTCGAAAAGCTGCTATGTTTAGCATAGAAAAAGCCGTAAAGTAGGTCCTGGGTTCAAACCCGTAGGAGGCCGTAAATCTTTTTGTTTTTTTTTTTTAATCAGTCTAGGTTTAAGACATAATTATTATTATATACCTTAGATCGTAAGGTTAAAAATTTGTAAAAAAAGAGATTACAAAAAAACGTTGTATGCAAGGATAGTCGGTAACGACAATACGACATACACTACGGGCATACACTAACCATCCCCTTACTCCGCTCCAAATATCACGGAGACGGTGATCTCATTGTGCATCGGTGGTCTACCGCGGGACTCACCCGGCAAATGAAAAAAGTTCTCAACGGGGGGGTACCTCTCGATTTTTTGACGAAAAACCACAACTACCCCGATTGATACCAGCACTCACGACGTTGTTCGGGGACCTTAAGCAATTGTATTGCCAAAGTTATAAAACGTTGATACTATAATTATACCGTAGTGTAGAGGTATCCGCGTATTATAGTTCTACACAGATTTGACGTTTATTCGGACTTGCTGCGGTAATCAGCTCCTCATCGCTAACCTGTTCAAATGTTATCCCTAAAAACTTATTCACAGGATAGCAGACTACCTACCCTTTCCGGGGACGTATTTTTTATAGCTGTAGGTACGACGGTTTTTTGTTTACAAAGTTTCCAAACTTATGATATATCATGGCGTTGCCGCATGATGCCAGTACATCGGACTCTCTGCGATATAAATCATGCATATAACTGGAATTCATTGATTCTAACAAATTAAAAATTTTAATAATAGCATCCTATACCTGGAGATGCTGTACTAGCCACGACAAAAGGATATCCCTATCTTGGTGGTATCGTGGAAAGAATTGACGGTGACAACATTTACGTTAAATTCCCATCGCAGTACGAAGATGCACCATTTAAATACCAACGACATGAAGTCATACCCTACCAAACCCAATTCATAAATGGAAAATTTATGCCTCTCAAACCGGTGACCAAACTACAAAGAGCCTACAAAAGAAAAATGATTTTAGACTATGAAAATAATTTAAATAATTACTTATATCACAATAAAACAGTTTTAACTAGCATCTAAATCGCCATAGTTAATACTATTTTGGTAACCGGTAACCGTTTCTTCAAAGATATTTCAAATACTATATACTTGGTACATCCCACTACATTACATTTACTACTGTTTTTATATATATCATACGTAAAATACATTTCAAGAACCGGGTTCTTATATTGGCATGACTTTTTTTGGATCGATAGTCATTGTAGATTGCGCTGCAATAATATTTTCCCTCCAATTTGGTTTTGTATTCGATAATTTTATTTGTCTTATTATTTTGCTGTTTCAAAATGACTTCTAGGCAAAGAGCTGAAAGAATTGTCAGGATTGCTAGGGAGAGTTGTGTTGCAGCGACAGATGATAAAGCTCCACAACCCCCCAATAACCCGATCACACCACGATTTAGTGATTGTAAGTATTTCATCCTTTTCATTAATATTTTATTTAGTTTAATTAATTATGTTATTATCTATTTTAAGTTACATATATAATGACTCAAATATTTGTTTTGTGTTCTTCATTAAGCTTCTAAAAAATAAGTAACTAAAAACGTAATATAAGTCTAAAATAATTTGTACACATTCCATCCAATTGAATAAAACAGTTATGCGTCAGTTGTGGGTATGTATGACATAACCGTAGTCAGAAATTGATACGGTGATCGGGTGATATACCTCGACGTTATAAAAATGATGAATTTCCTACCCATTGAGTAATAGTGACGCATAAAAATGTTTAACCCTTTGACGAGTGTATATAATTTGGTATCGATTACCCAGAGAGTAAATTGTTTTTATAAAAATATTGGTATTCTGCATAACCCTTTATAGGGCAGAAGGTAAAATATCATCCAATTTTTATGAAATTTGGTATACTTACTCAGTAGGATACAGGTAATTTGGGAAAAATAATAAAAAAAAAAAATTTTTATCCGCATTGCTAAAAAAGATTATGGGAAAATAGTATCCCATTGCCTACTCGGCGAGTTGGAATTAGCGTATATAAAATACTAATTTTTTTACCACCATATACAACAAAAATTACATCTACATATTTTTACCAAAAAAATAAATGGTTATAAGTATATCGCAAAAAAAGTTATTTTATTAACCCGGCACACCCTACAGACTCACCCGGCATACTATTTGGACTCACCCGGTACAATATATTAGACTCACCCGGCACAACATAGACTCACTCGGCATACTATTTAGACTCACTCGGTACAATATATTAGACTCACCCGGCACACCCTATAGACTTAAATTTGTGGATAAAGTTGTGGTGGGGGCGAGTTGTCCAGAAAATAATACTTTGTCCAGGATTACTACAGTAAAATACCAAGTTTAGCGACCACTACTTTTCAATTTAATTTCAGCTTCGAAATACATATTTATTATATTTTTAGTTATAGACCAATCGAATATTGGACAAATAGAATATGAAGAACAATATACAGAAGACTTGTATGCACATTGGCTGACGATACGTTGCCCATTCTGTATTCAAAAATTTATATATGAATTTACATTACTCTTTCATATTTTTAATGATCATTGTACCGATCATTGCCCATCAATTAGAGTACGCCGTCGAGAAGTAAACATTGCATTAAATTCTTACATTAAAAAAATGGCAATTTTGCAAATGCTGTCTATAATTATATTATAATTATTCATTTATTTATATAAAATCAATTTTATTTTAAAAGGATTTAGTAATGATGGTTGCATCCGCAATACAAAGATTCAGTGTAGGAGGGGCAACTACAAGTGAATGTTTATTGAATTATATATGCAGCTATGGGGCACATATTAATTCAGAAGAACTGAATGCATTTTTGATCGATAACGTGGGCGCCATACAATTCTTTGCAAATTCCCAATGTAATGTATGTAACAATTTTACTTACACAATAATATAATTACACAAAAGACACTTATACTCGGGGTAACTCACAGGGAATTATCTCGACACCGGTGGCCAAACAATTATTTTAGCACCTAATTTCTCCAAAGATTTCATACATTTCAAACTTATCATCGTATAGAGTTCGATGCTGTAATAATTTTGAAATTTTTTCTGCTCATTGCAAACCATTATTTAAGGTGGTTTAGGGCGGGGAAGTGATCTGCGGTGCGGGGGGCGGTAATATTACGTAATCTCAAACAATGCGCATTTAGCCGACGCAAAATATATTATCTCACGTGCGATCGCAGCAGATGACCTTTCGTAAACACTCGAAAGATGATTTAAAACTTGAAACGGGGCCCGAAAAATCTTAAAGAATTAATAAATTAACGAAATCGTGACGATGTAGTAATAATAAGTTATTACGTATTATTAACAAATCAAACAGGGAGTTGCACTAGGAGTATTTTCGGTTGTTAGGGGAGGTCAAAATGCGAATAAAACCAGGAAAAAAAAATTGAGGAAATCTCGAAAAAAAAACTTAGGACCACTAAGACGGGCATTCGAATTTAGAAGTATAGTTGATATTTTCACACAGTTTTTACTTTTTATTATTAATTGATATTGTTCAATTGTTGTTTTGGTGATAACAGAAACTAGATAATGATTATTTCATGGTGTAAATAAAAATATTCAATAGTTTCTTCCATGCTTGCCCCCAACAATCGCTATCTCTAAATAGCATGTTCTAAGTTCTAATGTTTGTCGAACTATAATAGCTGTAGCTGAAAGTTCTAAATAAAAAAAAAAAAAGTTCTAATGATACTATTGTTTAGTTTTAAATATTTTATTCGTTTTATTTAGGATAGTATAATTCTATAATTTTTTGTATGTCTGAATGTTTTGAATAAAAAATGAGCTGAGATCCGGAGAATTTTGTTTCAACTGTTGTTGTAGATGGAGGCCGGTAATGTATTGATTGAACTGTGTGTGTCTTTTTTATAAATTGTAGGATTTCTTCTGTTGAAAATGATGTGTTGTAATTTTTTTTTGGGTAAACCTGTACTAAATTTGTTAAAATATCCTTATAATTATTGATTTCTGTTATGTAATTCTCTTGAATAGTATCAGTTGTTAATTTTGAGAAACGAGTTTGAAGTATGCTGTTTATGAAATTTTTAATGAATATAAATTATTTTTGAAATCTGCTGAATATGTGAGTTTTATTAGTTACATTTTGGATTTTTATTTTTGTTTTTAAACATTTAATTTGTTCATTTTTGTCTAATCAGTCGTTACTCATATAGTAAAGTAGACTGGTTTTTTTAAATCATAATATGACCTTCATCCATTGTGATTTATATACAGCAGTAACAATTGATCGCCATAGACTATATGACAGTGATGATGATGTAAGCAATAATAGTTCTGATGATGAGAGTGATGAGAGTAAATACAATTATGCTAGTTCTACCAGTGACGATTGTACCAATTCAAATAGTGATGAAAGTAATAACAATGCTAACTGTATATTTTATTTTTATGGAGGCATTATTTGGATATATTTTTAGTTCCAGATGACAAGTATGAATGTGCTGATTGCCACAAATTGTTTAAATTTAAATCGTGGTACAATAACCATATGACAACACACGCTATTGTTGGGGTACATCAGTGTCAATATTGCCCTAAGAAATTCAAAAGAAGGGATAATCTTAAAAGGCATTTCTTAGTCCACTTTGGTGGCACCAATCATGATTGCATCCATTTTCGGGCCCCGTTTCAAGTTTTAAATCATCTTTCGAGTGTTTACGAAAGGTCATCTGCTGCGATCGCACGTGAGATAATATATTTTGCGTCGGCTAAATGCGCATTGTTTGAGATTACGTAATATTACCGCCCCCCGCACCGCAGATCACTTCCCCGCCCTAAACCACCTTAAATAATGGTTTGCAATGAGCAGAAAAAATTTCAAAATTATAACAGCAACAAACTCTATACGATGATAAGTTTGAAATGTATGAAATCTTTAGAGAAATTAGGTGCCAAAATAATTGTTTGGCCACCGGTGTCGAGATAATTCCCTGTGAGTTACAGGATAGCAGACTACCTACCCTTTCCGGGGACGTATTTTTTATACCTGTAGAGATAATATGATTACAGGGCGATCGGCCAGACTCCAGCCGTGAGCTCAGTGCATAATGGGTTTTTGATATTTTTACACGAAATTAGCAGGGATGGTAGCCAGGAACATTTGCAATCTAACAGTGAAGGTTTCAAGTCGGTAGTCCTATTATTCGGACTTAAATTAAATAAATCGTATTATACATCGATCCGCGTACAGTACTACGCTATATTACATATAATCGTGTTTTAAATAATTCCAAAAATTCTGTAAGATCAACCCTTTGACCGATCGACCTGAAAGTATAAAAGACTCACCCGGTTCAATATAAAAGACTCACCCCGGCTAAGTATATTAGACTCACCCGGTATATATTATATATTATTATACAGTCTATAACAAATTTAGATGTCAAAATACAAAAGAAATACATAAATATGTATTATTTATATATATTTTAAATGAATATAAGAAAACAAAAGAAATGTCAATAGTAGATAAATAAGATAAATGATGAAAAAAAAAAAAAAAAAACAACTAAATAGGTATTTAACATTACATTTGTCACAGTATAATAATATAGATTACAATTTATAAGACTCATCCGGCTAAGTATACAGCCTCACCCGGTATATATTATATATTNTTAACATTACATTTGTCACAGTATAATAATATAGATTACAATTTATAAGACTCATCCGGCTAAGTATACAGCCTCACCCGGTATATATTATATATAGTCTATAACAAATTTAGATGCTACAACAGCATAATGAAAAAGTTTGATTGATGATTGAGCGTCTCGTTGTTCAACATTCATTGTTCAACTCTGTGATCCTGAAAAAAAAAAAAAATATCAATGTTAATAAATTCATAATTTTTATTAATAAAGTTTCAATATATTACCATTTTCACTCGATGAGCCGCAAGCAAGCAAGGCACAGGAAATGCCTCATTGCATTTGTCGCACTTATATGGTTTTTTGAGTGAATGTAGTCGGTTGTCGTGATAACGCAGTTGCCTTTCTCCTGAATACATTTTTTTACATTTTTCACATTGAACCAAACAACCTTCATGTATTAATTTAACATGCTTATTCATATTTCTTTTGTCATTAAATTCTTTGCTACAATGCTTGCACTTATGTTTTAAAACACCTATATGTAGGTTTTGGTGCTCTCGCATAGTGTCCTTCCTTTTGAATAATTTAGGACAATATTGGCAGGCAAATGTTCCAGGGCTGTGGGAAGCCATATGCCTCTTAAACCAGCAGTTAAATTTAAAAGGTAAATCACATTTGACACATTTATATTTATAAGGAGAGTCGACACTATCTGTGGATTGAATAGATCCTTCATCACCAGAATTTTCTACCTCATCAGAGGAATAAATTTCTGTGTCGGAATTATTAGACTCTTCTGTAATATAAGTAAAAATTATTGTCATAATTTAATTTTAAAAAAGAAAAGAAAAATGATTCTAGTTAAATTATTGATATGTGGTTTGTGCAATTGGAGATTGTGTGAGCAATATAGGAATATAGTTGACGATAGGGCAGAAATTCACAAGATATAAGTAAAATGTATAAAAAAACATATGTATTACCTGATTCAGTTTGAGGAGATGCAGGAACGTTGTTGACAGCTGTCTCTGGCAGGTCGTCGACTGTTGCCTGAGGCGGGTGGTCGTCCATTGCCATAGTTTCTACTGTAATATATGTAAAAAACTAATGTCATAATGTATTTAAAAAAAATGCTTATAGTTAAATTATTAAAATTGATATGCGGTATGTACAATTGGAGATTGAGTGAGCAACTGACTGGGGATTTTGAATTCCATGGTATGTACCAAGGTGTAATATTAAATAAGCTCGGCTCTTGAAATTAAGACTGCATAAATTGCACATACTATTACAAGGCATGTTTTAATACAAAAAATATATATAATAACTGTATGTAATAATGAATAGTGGTTATATGATTTGTTCATACAAATATGCAATATTTAATGTAAAAAGGGCCCAGCCAATATAATTGATTGGAATTAAATAAAATATGGTAATATTGATTAACAAGGAAGACTGAATGATAAAAATTGATTTTTTTGACTATAGGGCAGGTATGATCATGATAAAAAGTAAAATGTATAAAAAAAAAAACAGCAGTGTTACCAGATTTGAAATTAGGTTTGACCATATTTTTTTTTTTTATTATTATTAGTGGCCGTTATGTTATAAGACAGTTAAAATGTAAATTAATAACAATGGCATTAGATTGAAAAAAAAATAAAAAAAAAGTGTAATAATACCTTTGTTTTTGAAAATTCCTCTTTGCTTGTTTTCACAAGTGAGACAGGCGCATCGTTCATTTGACTTTCCGAAAAAATCATGACCGTAAAACACAGTAATTTCTTCACCAGGTAATATTACCTTCAACGATGCAATTTCAATGTACGATGGTTCACCAATTGGTGAAAATACCGCATTTGATTCGCAGTCATGGTTTACATAGGCTGCTGGTCCGAGATACAGATGTTGTTTTTGAGATCTGCTTCTTGTGAAGACTGAAAAATCGTTGACCCCAACTTTCAGATCCTCATTACAAATATAAAATGACTGTCCTCCTAAACCTGTAATGGTTTTATTTTTTTTTATTTGAATGTTTGCTACAATTTTAGCACCAAAACCTATTTCATTGTTGAAACGATTGCATGCTTCATATCTGAAATTCAATATACTATCATAAACACATATCGCTCAAATATTTCAAAACAATTTATAACAAGAAATAAAATACCTAAACCAAGAATTTTCATTGACTGTTCTTGCGTATAAAACTTCATGAAATTTTACTATTCTTTGTTCAATACGGGATAGTTCTAATTTGTATGATGGTGTATGCGTTTTATGGGTTCGAAATCCTAATTGTGTGTCAACATACTTTTCAGTGCATTTATCATCAATAATACTCAATACAATTGCTAGCCGACTACTATGATGAAATGGATACGAATTTTCTTCATTCTGTGCGTGATATAAAAATGCAAATATTATTATCAGTATTACAGTATACGGTTATAAAATATATTAAATTACGAGGAAATTCTATAGCGGAAAACGTTGCAAACGTTTGATAACGGAGAAATTCGGACGGTCTGTTTGCTAAACATGATCCAGCGTTTGGCCTGTTTAGTTCTAGTAACCAGAACCGTGGTTGACTTTGTTTATACTTTTGTCGATCGTTATCACTATTCTTATCACGATTTACTTTTTATGTCATACACCACGACCGGGGTTTAACAAAATACCGCACTAAACGAAGCGCTCACGAATTTCTACGTTTTACTTTAAATATTGAAATTAAATGTTGCAGCGTTCATGAGGATATCACCGCGTATGGAGGTTAAACGCTGAAGTAATAAAATCGAAACTCCTTAGGCCGGGGATTTTCCGTCGAATTAAAAAAGCATTGGTTTATATCGGAGCAGTTATACACGGCGGATAACGCAAGCCGGCCTGCGTTTTCCGCCGCCGTAGTAAAACGCGGCGGAATACGCCGTGTATAGCCCCAGCCTTACTTCATTAATTGAAAAATTACATTATGGAAACTAATAGATAAAAATTTAACTATACAATTAGTATTCTAAACGTCTTAATCTATGATAAAATTAATAACTATTAGTTAACTACGATCTATGATTGGCGTAAGGGCCCCTACACAAAGAAAAGTTGTAAACGCATCACTAAAAACAGTGAGAAGTTAAGGCTGGAGCTATACACGACGATATGAATTAAATACAATAATAAAAATAATACTCACAAGAGAAGCCATGGCAAACGAGATACTAGTATACTACTATACTCGTGAACATTGCATGAGGAAATGAAACTGGCATTACCTGTCACTACCCGCCACAAACAGGGCCTAAAAGCCGTTCTCTTAAAAATGATAAAAAAAAGAAAACCGAGCTTATCAAATAGTATCTCATACCAACCAAAACTAAAGTAATTATTCCAAATAATAATTTAGTATCAGTCTGTGTGAAAGACTGTGCTATAATACATTAAATATTTATTCGTATTCTTCAATATTCTTATCAAGAAACTGATTCTTATCAAAAAGCTTTAAAGCTTTAAATTAAAGACAGTTAAAGTTCAAAGTTTAAAGTTTACTTATATTTAAAAAAAATGGCTTTCAATGGTATTGATGCTCTACTCGACCACGATTACTTACTAAGTATTATTTGGCCCATAAAATAATAAACATCGAACTCCAAAATTATTCATATTAAGAAGTTTTTTTTTTTTTTATCGATTCAGATAATGAAGAATATGTAGAGCTAATGGATTTAGATATTTTTGAAGAAGAGGAGGAAGAGGAAGGTGTTATTGAAGAAGTTGAGGAACAAGGTGTTATTGATGAAGAGGATGAACAAGATGAAAATGAAGATAACAATGGTGTTTTATATATATATTTTAATTTTAATTATTGATATTTTTAGTTCTGTAGGAAACCTACCTATATGAATATGAATGTTATACCTACAATTTAATTAATTTGAAATATTATTTTTGTACCAGGTCAACTGGCAATTATCCAGCGTCAGCGAGCTGACACATTTATAGTTTTACCTGGTGTTAGGTTAAATTCTATTGTAATTATGGATAACCTGAATTATAAATATTACAAAAATGGTGCGAGAAACAATAAAACGTAAGTAAGGCTGATATTTAGTAAGCTAACAGATGTTATAAACACAGATTATACGTTTAAATAAATAATTTATGCAATTTAAATGATTCATGTCTACTTATTTTATAATATAATATAATTTTTAAATTATTTTATTTCTATGTAGATATTTGGTTTGTGAAAATCAAAAAAATGTTGCTGCACATTGTCCATCAACGGCTTGGGTCAGGACTACCGATATACCAAAAGGAAATGGTGATATAATTGTTCGGGTTCAACACAACCATTTACCTCCAAAAGTTGACGTTCCAATGGTGCACTTAAGAAGGTCAATTGGTCTGGCTGGAACAAGTACCGGCAATTTGGCTACTTCCATTAGACAAATTTATAACCGGGAAGTTGTGTTGTAAGTATTCTAGATTAACATTAAATATTTTTAAAGTTTTAAGGTAATTTTAGTAATTATTAGCATAAATAAGATTAAAGTTATAATTGTACCAACCTTCATTATCTTAGAAATCCAGAAGGTGCAAAAAACTACACGCATTTACAATCCCGGGTTTGTCTAAATAAAATGCGACGACGTCGTCGTCCAAAAAATCCAACTACTATTGATCATCTAGCAGATATCTTAAATGAACCAACCACACCAACTTCATATACTTCCACCTTGCAGCGCCCTTCTTCAAGGTTCATAAAATATATTTAAAATATTTGTAATTTTATTTATTATTTACTTTATATTATATATCAATTTATTTAGATTTTTTCAGCATGGTTATCCATTAATAGTAGATAGAGAACGAGTTGGTGTGGTATTTGCTAATACAGATGCAATAGAAAAGTGTAGAGGAGAACTACTCCAATCGATTACTATAGCAGGAGTAGATGGGACTTTCAAAACAGTACCAAGGAATCCTCCTGATTTACAAAAAGGCTGCCTGCTGACTTTTCATATAGTTTTCAGAAATGTGGTAAGTTATTTTTTTTTAGCTATTAATTGTATGTACAATTAATATGATTTTTTTTTACCCAGTCTTTTCCAATGGTATATGCATTGACTGTAAGAATGACACAGTCCACATATGAGGCTTTCTTTAGAGTTGTAAGACAGATTTTACCTCTGAATTACAATCAATTAACCATCATAACAGACTATGAAAGAGGTTTGATGAATGCAGTAAGGATTGTTTTTCCTCATATAAAGCTACAGGGGTGTTGGTTCCATTTCTGCCAAGTGAGTTGATCTATGATTATTGATTTTTGAGCAACTGAGTACCTATATGTAATAAAATATGTTACTTTTATTAATTTATTCATTCATATAAATGTATCAATGTATTCACTCAATCAAATTATATAGTCTGTTATCCGGTACTGCAAAAGAAGTATGAACAGTCTATTCCATCTATTTCAGACAAGTGTTGAGGCTGCAACAGTTTTACGCATGGTAATATGATATTATGATGAAACGTTTTGTTATTATTTAATTTGCTTAAAATTAGTTTGATTAAATTCAATTTGGGTTTTGAATTTTTAGGTGTTAGCTCTACCTCATCTTCCTGCTGAACCCCAAATGAATTGCAGTTTCACAATGTTTGATGGTTTTCGAATAATTGTAGATTATGTTAACCAACAACCAGCAATTCGCGAACGCTTACAAGCATTTTTATTTGGCTACATACAAGATTTTTGGTTAACACAAATAACTGCTGCAAACATAAGTGTCTTTGGGTTAGAAGTCTGGAAAAATAACATAAACAGATTATTGTCATTTGTTGTAATATATTTTAGGTCAGAAGTTCGAACTAACAATTATGTCGAGTCTTTTCATGCCACACTGAAGACGCAGATTGGAAAACATCCGAATATCTGGGATTTCATGCGTATATTTAATTTGATTATATATTCATGTTTGTGAATATTTTTCTATTGATTTGTTTGTATTATGATGTATTTATGTGTTTCTATAGTATAAGTAAGTATATCAAACAGGTAATGTTATTCAGTGTCTATCAAGACTTGTGAATGCGTTGTTAATGAATTTAGATATATGTAAATGGGTATCAACAATTTGCAGACTCAGAGTAAGTATATTAAACATTGTGTTTGTGTGGTTACAAGAATATTTAATATGCATTTGTGTAGGTGCTTAACATATTAAAAATTGATGTTTATGACTTATTTTCAAATTAGTTCATATACTATTATAATATATAATAATATTATGATGAATATTTTTTTTTTCATATGGTGCTTGTCTGGGAGTGGCCTAATTTGGACACATGTTTGGCAGAATTTGTGTTTTGGTATAATTACCATCTAGCTAATAATGTATTTAGATTATTTGTATTAATTGAAGAGACTTACTGTTATTATAGAGAAACTATTGATAGTTGAGAACCAATATTATTTGGAAATGGATCAAGTTCGCAGGCATCTCCAGGTAAAATCTTTTGAAATCAAATATCTATATATTATTATATTTAGAAGTTGTAAGAAGTGTTTTAAAAATAATTTCAGATCAGATCTCATCTATCTCAGGTAGATAGAGCAGAAGTCACTAGCGCAATAAGGAACTATGTTAACATACTCAACCAAACAAGAGATTTATCTATGTTTTTGCGAAGAGAAGGCCATCTTATGGATGGTTATTATCGAAAACAAGTTCGACCTCAACCATTGGTATACTTTAATTTGAATTTTATTTGAAAATCTATTCATGATAACTCATTATCTTTTTATTAGGATCACGAACGGTGATGAATGTGCTGAAAGCCACTCGCCAGTAACTTTATTATAGTAACCCCTTTTATTATTATAACTTTTATATGAAATGACTTAGGTATAAACAATTATATTTATGCAACTTTTATACTTGTAAATAACTAATTTATACAGCTTGTATAAATAATGACTTAAAAACAATTTATTTAAATAACTTTTATACAAACTTATTTTTAACTCAACAAACGTGAGTGGGATACTGAGTAAATAGATATAAGATTTTTTTTTATTGTTTGTTACTTACTATATTTATATAAAGAATTAAATACTACTTGTATAATACCATTGTAAAAGAAAAACGATTTTGAGCGAAGAGTCAGTCAGCTGATGATATTACTAAGTACATTTGATATTATTGTGAATAAAGTAACTTATATACTACCTAATTTACGTGGGTAGTCAATAGGTATTACCCGAGTAACAATTAAGGTTGTGTCTTCATAATCGTCTTCTATTATGTTATTATTTGTTGTTTCTTTAAGATTGTCATCAAGATTATTTGTATTTAAACCACTTTCAAGTGAGTCGATTGTGTCTGATACATAATCAAACGATTTGTTAGAAGTTGAAACAATTAAATTATTTTGTTCTACCGTGGGTGATTTTATTTTGGCTTGAAATTGATCGGATGCGTTATCGTACAATGATGATGTTCCTACAGTAGAATCATTTGTTGGTAATTTTTAATAGATATAAAATAAGTTGTTAATTTATTATTAGTTATAATTTGTTATAACTAATTATATAAAAACTGTTTGTTAAAAATTAATATAAATAAATTATTCAGGTAAAACTCTTATCGAACTAAAATCCTGCGTACGTTACTGTATCTTACCTCCTTATAAGGAGCTATAGCGATACAGCCCTTTAGGTAAAAACATTACTAATATCTATATTATACTAGGTATTACAATAAAATAAATATTTTATACTTACATATTTATATCGGTGCTCTTATTCGATATAAAATATTCCTAATGTTTGTTCTGTAATTATTGCTTTATAGCTTGGGATTATTGGATTATTATATTGTATAATAATATATGAATATGATAATAACTGAAAAAAATTAAATATACAAACACTTTAAATGTAGGTAGGTATCTATATTGTTATAAAAGGGATAGTATTATTACAAGTTAGACTAGTTAAAATATATGTTTAGCAGTTTATGTATCAGTGGCGGCTATCCTATACCTCAAGTGTATCAACAGATACACATGGTATTGGTGGGTAAGTGGGTAGGTGTTTGCCGTGTGTTTGAATGGCTATGTAAAATGCTACAATATGTATAGTTACAAAAAACACAATGAAAACAATTAAATTCTGTAGACTGGGTAATATTGTGAAACGGGTCGTGGGTGCCCACAGATTTTAGAATTTTGGATATACATGGTAAATTTACTGTAACCGCCACTACTATGCAGGTTTATATAATATGTAGAATAAAATATAGTATATTATATATAAGTAC